AGACACAGGCAGAGGGAGAAGCAGGCTCCATGCACCGGGAGCCCGACGTGGGATTCGATCCCGGGTCTCCAGGATCGCGCCCTGGGCCAAAGGCAGGCGCCAAACCGCTGCGCCACCCAGGGATCCCAATAAATAAAATCTTAAAAAAAAAAAAAAAAAAAAAGATAGGAAAAGCTCCAGTAATGGCCTGCTTGATGAGGTGGGAGAAACATGAAGGCATTGAGCTGGGTTATATATACGAGATCCATACACACAGCATCCTGCCAAAAAAACCTTTTCATCATTTTGGTACATAGAAGATAGAATTTCTAGTAGTATTGGAATCTGTATCTTTTCCATAAAAAAATGGGCATCTAAAACTACCATATAACTTTTGGGCACCAAATAAAACAAACCACTTAGGGTTTTTTGTTTTTGTTTTTAAGATTTTATTTATTCATGAGAGGCACAGGGGCACAGGCAGAGGGAGAAGCAGGCTCCACACAGGGAGCCTGATATGGGACTCGATCCCGGGTCTCCAGGATCATGCCCTGGGCTGAAGGCGGCACTAAACCACTGGGCCCCCCGGGCTGCCCCACTTAGGGTTTTTTTTACTCACTAAAATGTACTACGGGGGCATCTGGGTGCCTCAGTGGTTAAGGATCTCCTTTCAGGTCAGGTCATGATTCTGGGGTCTTGGGATGAAGTCCGACATCAGGCTGCCCACAGCAAACCTACTTCTTCCTCTGCCTGTGTCTTTGCCTCTTTCTGTGTATCTCTACGAATAAATAAAATCTTTTTTAAAAATGTATTATGAAATATTTCATACCTATCAAAACTATCCAAGAGCAGACACTTCTGTACCCACAGCACACTGTAAGAAACAAGCGTGACTGAAAGAACATAAGTCCTGGGGCACCTGGGCAGCTCAGCTGGTTAAGCATCTGCCTTCAGCTCAGGTCATGATACCAAGTCCTGGGATAGAGCCCTGGGATAGAACTGAGCAGGGAGCCTGTGTCTTCCTCTGCCTCTCCCCCCTGCTCATGCTTTCTCTCTCTCTCTCTCTCTCTCTCTCTCTCTCTCTGCCTCAAATGAATAAATAAAATCTTTTTTAAAAGATTTTTTATTTATTTATTCATTAGAGGCAGAGAGAGAGAGGCAGAGACATAGGCAGAGGGAGAAGCAGGCTCCATGCAGGGAGCCTGACATGGGACTCGATCCTGGGTCTCCAGGATCACGCCCTGGGCCAAAGGCGGTGCTAAACCACTGAGCAACCTGGGCTGCCCAATAAATAAAATCTTAAAAAAAAAAATGAGAACACAAGTCCCAAGGCTCCCTCCATGTGGACCTCACCCGTCCCCTCCTCCCACCCCCCCTCCAGAGGTAGTCACTAACCTATTCTTCTAGGTGGCTTGTCCATGTTAGTGAGTAGGAAACTATGTATTCTGGATATTAATTCAGTAGGAGTTAAATGATTTCCCAGTGTGTGGCTGGTCTTTTTACTTCCTATAGCACCTTCTGCTAAACAGGATTTTCAATTTTAATATAAATAGCCCGGAATGTCCTGGGCCATGGGAAGTATGTGTGTGTGTTAACCCCAAATTCAAGAGAGGGTAGGCCTTGGGACACTTCTTTCCCCATTCAGTGCCCCGGCTGAGATAGACACATTTCCCCATGACCTTTCTTTGTAAGCCAGGGGCTTTGCCCTCATTCACCCTGTCCCTGAGGGAAGCTCTGCAAGGGCCTCGTGCTGCACTTCCCAGTCCACTCCCAGTGCTCATGGCTCCAAAGTCCTGTTTCCTCCTGACATCAGTTCAACCATGAATTTTAAATGAGATCAACAAAGGCTCCCAGGGCAATGGGGGCTTCTTGTGTTTTTTGCTTTGTTTTGGTCCCTGGGGACACACACTTCCTGTGGTACAGGACATTCCAGACTATGAAGGAAGTGATCACACTAGACCCAGAGAGGTGGCACTCAGCCTGGTGGACACAAACCAACCAAATCAATTCAGAAGTAGTGCACACTCAACCCAGGGCTTGGGAATTGCCACAGGGAAGAGCCCAGAAATGCATGAGTTTCAAGCACATCAGTGCTCAGCAATTATGGACAAGAGCCAGCAGAGACAACAGAACTGCACATGGGAACAGAATCGTTCATTGGAAATTATGCTCGTGATGTTTTACCCAGCACTGAGAAGTATTCTAATATGTTTTCAGGATATCGAGTGTTCAGATAGTCCCAGGACAGAAGTCACTACATGTTAAAACATAGTTTAGAGGCACCCGGGTGGCTCAGCCAGTTGAGCATCTGACTCTTGGTTTCTGCTTAGGTTATGGAATCAAGCCCCAAGTCAGGTTCCATACTCAGTAGGGAGGTTACTTCCTCCTCCCTCTGCCACTCTCTCTGTGAGCACATGCTCGCTCTCTCTCTCTCTCTCAAATAAATAAATAAATCTTTTTTAAAAACACATAATTTAAAAAAATAAATAAAAAATAAAAACACATAATTTAGGGATCCCAGGGTGGCTCAGCGGTTTAGCACCTGCCCAGAGCGTGATCCTGGAGACCCGGGATTGAGCCCTACGTCGGGCTCCCTGCACGGAGCCTGCTTCTCCCTCTGCCTGTGGCTCTGCCTCTCTCTCTGTGTCTCTCATGGATAAATAAATAAAATCTTAAAAAAAAAGAAACCCTTTATATCCACATAAAACATAAGGATCTTCCCTGTGATCTCGACAACCTAACACTCTCTTCATTTAAAAAAAAATCCACTTAATTTAAAACACATAAAATTAAGCTATATTACTTTACCTAGAAAAATGGCATAATACATCTAATTTGGGGCTTTAAAAAATGCATGTATTAGACAAAATGCAGAGTTATGGCATGTGTGAGGATGGCAGGACACCTGAGTATTTTTATTTTCCTTTTTGGCCTAAACGTCTTTGAGTTCAGGGTTGGTCCAAGTGCTGCTCCATTTTCTAGTTATCTTGAAAAATAATCTGCACTTAGGAGACCAAAGTTGGATATGTAGTAATTTAGAGAGTTCTTTAAGTGATTAATAAGGAAATATAGACAAACATAAGTTTTTGAGGTTTTCATCTAAAAATGCTGAGTAGATACTTGCTAGAGCTCCACGCTGGGGTGATGGGTGCAGGAGAAACAAAATCTAGTGTATGGTTTTCCAGCTGATTAGAAAATACAATCTGGGGGCACCTGGGTAGCTCAGCAGTTGAGCATCTGTCTTTGGCTCAGGGTGTAATCCCAGGGTCCTGGAATCGAGTCCCACATTGGGTTCTCTGCATGGAGCCTGCTTCTCCCTCTGCCTGTGTCTCTGCCTCTCTCTTTGTTTCTCATGAATAAATAAATAAAATCTTAAAAAAAAAAAAAGAAAAAAGAAAAAAAAGAAAAGAAAAGGAAAGAAAAAAAAGTACAATCTAAAGGGCACTTGGGTGGCTCAGTTGGTTAAGTGTCTGCCTTCAGCTGAGGTCATAATCTCAAGGTCATGGGATGGAGCCCTGAGTCAGGCTTTCTGCTCAGTGGGGAGTCTCTTTCCCTCTCTCCCTCTTCCTCTGTCTTCCCCCTTCTTGTGCTCTCTGTGTCAAATAAATAAATAAAATCTTTAAAAAAAATACTATGTATAAGAAAAATAGAAAATAGGATATAATCCCCTCTCCACAAATACTCATGAAAGCACTAACCCTCTCTGGCCTCTGCATCCTGGATTTTTCTGCAACACCTTCTATTTGCCTCTTGCACTTGGCCCTGTCCTTTCCATCCCCTTTGACCTACCATGGTGTAGGCCTACCTCCACCACCCTACCTGACTGCATTAGCTTCCTGCCAGGTCCTGCTCCCTCCAGGCTCAGACCTTGGTCTTCCACATCTTTGCTATAGTCAACCTTCACACACTCATGTTGCTTCTTTGAAAACCGCCAACAGGGCTCCCCACCACTCAGCAGTCTCTTCTTCCCCAGGGCTCCCACCACCAGATATGCCCTCTCCTGTCCACCACTCTGGCTGGCGACCACTCTGGACCCAAAGGTGTTGGCCTTCTCATTGTATTCCCGAGGCTGACCCTTTCAGCTACCTTGAGCTGAACGTGCTGGCTGCTGGTGGGAGGAAATTAGGGCTCTGGGCCCCTTGAGGGGTGTGATGTGGACCTTCCCAATTCCAGGCCAACTTCCCCACGTGGCAGCTGTGGCTTCGCACCTTCAAGGTGCTCAGTCACCTTTGAAGGAAGCAGGCTGCACAAACACGAGTGCGAGCTTTCCACTGGAGACACGGGAGTGAATCAGGTTTGAGCAAAGGGTAATTCGGGTATCAAGGTGATCCCTTCTCTTGCAGAGACAAAGGAGGATCCCTTTGTCACTGTGATGGTGAGACCTCAGGTGGTCCCTCTGCTCGGGGACCTCGGGTGGCCGGTGGCAGGCCTGGTGGCAGGCCCCAGGGCATTGGCAGGGCTCCAGGGTGCCCTCTGGAAGGGCGTCTGCGCATGTACGCCGCCTGGATGGAGTGGAGTCAGAGGTGGGGGCCGGTGGGGGTCGGGGGGGGGGTCGGGGAGGGGCCGGGGGGGGCCTGGGGCTCGGCTCCCTGCCTGCACTGCCAGCCAAGCACGCTCAGGTAAAGTGAAGCGCGCATCTCGGACCCTCCGAGCTCCGGCCCCGGTGCAGTCCCAGGCCCGGAGCGCGCCCAGGGTCCCGCCCCAGGCTGCAGACGGCGTGCACGTCGCCGGACCGGGTGGGACCGGACGCGCCGCGGGGCTCCGAGCCCAGCACACACCGCTCAGGGGCAGAACCAGGGCTGCCGGGCGCAGGGACGCGAGCACACGCTGCGCCCCGCCTCCAAGACCGCGACCCCGCAGGAGCGCTCGGCGGCCGCGCTGGCTCCGCCCACCCCCGCCCCGCCCCGCCCCCCCGCCCCGCCCGCCGGGGATTGGCAGCTCCGCCCGGGGGCGTGGCCTGAGGCGCCGCGAGGGGTGCCGGGATGCGCCGGCAGCCTCCAGGCCTCGGCCCCGCCCCGTCCCGCCCCTCTGCCTGCCTGTGATTGGTGCTCTCGGCCCAGGGGGCGGGCCTGGGCCGGTGGTGCGCGCGCCGTGGTGACGTCAGTCCGGGTGCGACCGCAGCCCGGCCAGGCCCTGGTGCGGGCGTCCCCGGTGTCACCGTCATGGCGGCGTCGCTTCTGCTGCGGGAAGGACGGTCCGCGGCGCTGAAGGTAAAGGGGAGCCCGTGTAGGGCCGGGGCGTGGCGGCCTCTCCAGCCGTCCCGGTGGGCGGTCGGCCCGCATGCGGGGCGCAGGAGAGGGCGCGGGGCGGAGGGGCGGGCCTGGGCCGGGCCACGGCCCCTTGGAGGAGGACCCCGGTCACCTGGGGAGCCCGGGGCGTGGGGGCGGGGCGGTGTACACAGAGGCATGCACTTGCAGTCATAAACGTAGAAAACACGTTTTCCTCTTTGCATATAAAGGGGAGGCCCCTCTGCTGGATCTATATCCAGCTTCTAGAAGTGCCCAGCAGGTAATAGCTGTTAGTAAATACCTGCTCGGTGAGTTATCAGTGATAGTTTGTTTTCCAATTATGATTTTTTTTTTTAAGATTTTATTTGTTCATTCATGAGAGACACAGGGAGAGAGGCAGAGACGCAGGCAGAGGGAGAAGCAGGCTCCATGCACGGGAGCCCGACGTGGGACTCGATCCCGGGTCTCCAGGATCACGCCCTGGGCTGAAGGCGGCGCCAAACCGCTGAGCCACCCGCGCTGCGCCCAATTATGATATATTGTAAACAGTTTGGGAGTAATCATTATTCATCCACATCATTGTTAACAACCAGATAGTATGTCTTCTACTTAGCTTTGTAAGTACAGGAAAACATTTTACAAAAAGAATCGGTATTTTGTAGGCTAACAGGTAATCGGGGACGACAAAAAAACTGTGCACGGGAGAAACCGTTTTGACGTTTTCCTGGAGTTACATAGCTAATAGTGACTGTCCTGTGGTTATCTTTCTTGCAGCTTTTTTTTTTTTTTTTGTATTTTCGAAAATTTCTGTAATACACATGTTATGGAAATGGTGATAACAATATACCATTTGGATGCTTAGTAATAACGCGTAGTATTTCTATGTTGTAATGGATCCTAAGTGATGTTACCCTAAAATGTCCATATTTGTTCATTCTTCTGTCAGATTATGCTCCTCGAAGCACGAGTATTTCGAGGACTTGCTTCCACGGTTTCTCTCTGTGCAGAATCAGGGAAGAGCGAAAAGGGACTGCCACCAAATCCCAAGAAGCAAAGTCCACCAAAAAGTAAGATTTTAATGATAGTCATAAGGGAAAGATAATGCAAAGTAAATAAGTCTGTTTTCCAAGCATGAAAAGTTTTACTGACCACATAATTTGATTCATCTCCAGCAGTGTCCAGATTATAATCAGAAATAACATCCATGCAGATTTTAGACCAAACACGTCAGTAACGAAACAGTCTTTGACTCAGTGTTTAGCCCCAAACCAGTTTTGTCTGTTTTCTAAGTGCCTTACTCTAACACGTAGCAAGGGGATACAGAGGGCAAAGGCTGGGGTGCGTAGACCGCCCTAGTATCGTACTGTAGCCCACACTCCCATGGTAGCTCTGAACCCCATCTTGCTTCCCCCAACTGTGGCTTTTCTCAGTGTCTCTGAAACTCACATGTGGCCTCCCGGGCTCTGGTTGGCCATAGCCCAGGGTCGTAGGCATCCTCTTATGACAGTAGAGAGGGAGTTAGGGCAGGCACCATTTTCCATTACAACTCACTTTGATGCAGCATGATATCTGATCTGTGTCCAGCTCTTTCCATAGTCATTTTGACTGTTATTGCTGTTTTTTACTTTTTTTTCCTCCTAAATACCAATGTAGCATATCCTCACGGAAAGAGAATAGAAAACGCAACAGTATATTTTTAAATACTTCTCTTGTGGGAATTTTATTTTCTACTCCCGATTCCTTACTAATGACTGGGGTTAGTACAGGGGTGCCTGGCTGGCTCAGTCAGAGGAACACGACTCTCAGTTTCAGGGTTTAGTTCGAGCCCCATGTTGCGAGTAGAGATTGCTTAAAAATGAAATCTTAAAAAAAAAAAAAAAGTGAAAGATGTATATGTACAGTCTCTGAAAACCTTGACTTTCATATGTGGGTCAGAATGATAAGTTGAATTTATCTTATTTTCATCAATGTCATTTCCTCGGTTTGAATATTTAAATATTTAAAAATACTTAGATATTTTTTCGTTTTGTCGCTTCTTGGTGTGCACACAAAAGCACTGGTAGGTTTCAGAATATTGGCCCATTGTGGATTGCTGGCCCCCGACTGCCTTTCATGCCCTAAGCACATCATCGCTGGAGGCCTGAATTCAGCTCAGTTTAATTCTGTTTGACTCAGAATGTTCTGTTCTGTGTAACTCAGTCTGTATTGGCCTCACTTTTATTTCTTTTTAAGATTTATTGATTCATTCATGAGATATACAGAGAGAGAGGCAGAGACACAGGCAGAGGGAGAAGCAGGCTCCCAGCAGGAGCCCCATGTGGGACTTGATCCCAGGACCCCAGCATCACAATCTAAGCTGAAGGCAGATAGATGCTCAGCCACTGAGCCGCCCAGGTGTCCCTTGCCTCACTTTTAAATCCAGTGTTCTATCTCTCTCTTTCTTATGTTTTTAAATAGAGATCTTAAAAAATAGGACCCTTTTTTTTTTTTAAACAGAGCCACAGTACCTTGATCACTCCTAAAAAATGTTTACAACCAGACTGTCAGTTCAGTTCTGTATTATGCCCAGCACATTTTTGACATTCTTTCAGTGTTTACTGCTGATTGGCTGCATCTCATCACTAATGTTCTCGCTGCGTTTGGTGAATTTTAGTCTTGTCTCTGCAATCCTACATCATAGATTTGTGAAACTGGACTAGCGGCTACATGAGTGGAATAGGGCACTTGGTCATGTGACAGTTTTGGGTGCAGGCATGAGACAGGAACACTGACCTGGGAGTTGGCCTTGGGCCTGTGTAGTTTCTGCCCTGGAAACAGTTCCTCCCTGCCTGGCCAGCATGAGATGTGCGTCTGTGTCGTGTCCACCATAGAGTGCTTTCAGGTAGGAAGACAGAATGCTGAACCACACTGTCTTTAAGACACATTTCATTTGTGTCTTGTCATTTCAAAATAATTACAATCCCTGTATAAAGAGAAAGAGGGGCGCCTGGGTGGCTCAGTGGTTGAGCATCTGCCTTTAGCTCAGGTCGTGATCCCGGAGTCCTGGGATCAAGTCCCACATCGGGGTCCCTGCAGGGATCCTGCTCCTCCCTCTGCCTGTGTCTTTGCCTCTCTGTGTGTCTCTCATGAATAACTAAATCCCCCCCCCCCAAAAAAAAAAAAAGAAAGAATACTTCTAAATTGACATGTATGCAGGCCTCAGACTGGTTAAGTGTTGGACGCTGAAATGCCTTTTGCTGCTAGTGGCACATTGTCAGGTCAACCGCTGTCAACTCTCAGGGGCTTTAGAAGTTCAAGTGGAAGCTTGCACACAGGGTGCTAAGCACTCACCCGTGTGCTCACATCTCTAGTCTGCCTGCCTTAGAGGCAGGACCCCAAGGTTATAGAACACCTGCCTTATGTCCTCCAGAACTCCAGCTTCTGGTAGCACGTGCTTCCTTCCTGAGGAGAGCCCCCAGGGCAGAAACCAGAACCCAGGGTCTCTTTGTAGCCCCGCCTCCTGCAGAAGCGCCTGGCTTCCCTATTTTTTTTTTTTTAAGATTTTTTAAAAATTTATTTATTAATGAGAGATAAAGAGAGAGAAAGGGAGGCAGAGGGAGAAGCTGGCTCCATGCAGGGAGCCCAACATGGGACTCGATCCTGGGACTCCAGGATTAGGCCCTGAGCGGAAGGCAGGCGGCGCTAAACCGCTGAGCCACCACTGAGCCCCCTGGGCTCCCCTGGCTCCCCTACCTCCCCTACTTTGATGTTACTTTGAATCTAGGCACTAGACTGTTTTTGCAACAATCAGTACTAAATCATTGACTAACTCCAGTGTTGCTTTTTAAAGAATCTGTCAAGAAGCCAAAGTTAATTATCCATTTCCAGTCCTTACTTCAGCTTGAAAAGTGAGAAATCTCTGGAAATAGGGATTTGTTGTATTTAATTCTAACCAACAGTGCGAGGCACTGTTCCAAGCACTCCATATATTATCTTATTTGGTCCTCAGAACCCTGTGAGTAGATACTATTAGTAACCCTGCATTATGGATGAGAAAGTAGAGGGAGGAGATCCATGAGCTGCCTGAGGTCACACATAGGTCAGTAGTGGAGCGAGATGTGAACCCCAGCGGTGAGGCCCCACCATCTGTACTTTTAATCACTGTGCTGTCTTGCCTCTGGAAAACAAAATCTTGCTTCTCGTGTATTCATTAAAAAAAAAAATCACTTTATAGTCCTGTACATGTAAAAAAAAAAAAGTTTTAGCATGTAAAAGTTGAGTATTCTTTCATGTCGTCAAAATATGCCTTTGTTTTGGAGTGTGCTTTGTTTCCAAGATTAGTTTTGTGACCCAGTGACAGGATATGAAATAATTCTAAGATGGCTAATCTATTTCAAACACCAATACATCATTTTTGCTTTGATAGGGAGGCCGCTAGGGATGCCCTGGTGGCTCAATAGGTAGACCACACGACTCTTGATATCAGGGTCATGAGTTTGAGCCCCACTTTGGGTGTAGAGATTACTTAAAATCTTTTTTTTTTTTTTTAAGATTTTATTTATTCATGAGAGACAGAAAGAGAGAGAGGCAGAGATACAGGCAGAAGGAGAAGCAGGCTCCATGCAGGGGGCCTGACGTGAGACACAATCCCAGGTCTACAGGGTTAGGCCCTGGGCTGAAGGCGGCACTAAACCACTGAGCCACCCAGGCTGCCCACTTAAAATCTTTTAAAAAGAAAAAAATAAAAGCTTTGGTCAGGAGACCACTAAAAACTTGAAGGTCATGCCCTCACTTTTCAACTGAGCTGAAAAGATTCGGGAAGTGGAAGTTGTTTTGAGAAGAGATAGAGAAGCAGTAAGACTTGTCCCGGTGCTGTTACTGGTATTCATAGCCCTTAATTGTGTGTAGGCTGATATGGTCATTTGTATGGTCTCTGACAGTAGAAACAGTCCAGGAAAGTCTTCGACTTGTGCAGTGTGATGTTCCTCCTCGGTTGACTTAACTTAGGTAGCGTGGTGTTTTCATATACTTGTTTTTCAAGGAAGGTCAGCATCAAACTAAAACATAGAGTATATGGGCATCCTGCCTCTAGGTGAAAGTAAGGGACCTCATGAAAACAGACTGGTAAGGTCATAAAGGGAAAGCCATTGTTCCTCTGCATGATGAGCCTGTTTTCACGGTGACGACATTCTGCTCTGCACGGTTGAATGCAGACGTGATCTGCACCCTGGCACTCTGGAACAGCAGTTACTAGCGGCAGCTCCAGATCATTGTGGCAGCTTCCTTCTGAGTCACAAGAGGACACTGGGCCCCTGCTGCAGTGGGTCAGAAATTGGCTGTCATTAAAAATTAGCAAAATGCATCAGTCAGAGAAAGACAAATATCGTATGATCTCACTCGTATGTGGAATTTAAGAAATAAAACAGGAGCACAGAGGAGGGAGGGAAAAATAAAACAGGATAAAATCAGGGAGGGAGACAAAGCCTAAGAACCTTAGGAAACAGAGAGGGTTGTTGGAGGGCAGGGCCTGGGGGGATGGGGTAACTGGGTGATGAGCATCAAGGAGGGCACGTGATGTCATGAACACTGGGTGTTATATAAGACCGATGAATCACTGACCTCTACCTCTGAAACCAATGACACATTATATGTTAATGAGTAGAGTTTAAATAATATTTTGAAATTTTTTTAGAAAAGCATTACTATGTTTTAGTCTATTAGCCTTTCTGTGGAACTCTTCAGTAATTTAGCATGAATAAAAGAAACCTTAAAACATTCTTATTACATATTACAGAAATTTTCTTTTCAAACAATTTCTAAATGATACCACTGTTAATCCCATTTGAAATTGTCTTTCCTTTTTTTTTTATTAAAGATTTTATTTATTTATTCTTGAGAGAGAGAGAGAGAGTGTGTGTGTGTCAGAGACACAGGCAGAGGGAGAAGCAGGCTCCATGGTGGGAGCCCGACATGGGACTCAATCCTGGGTCTCCAGGAGATCCCTGGGTGGCGCAGCGGTTTAGCGCCTGCCTTTGGCCCAGGGCGCGATCCTGGAAACCCAGGATTGAGTCCCACATCGGGCACCCTGTGCATGGAGCCTGCTTCTCCCTCTGCCTGTGTCTCCGCCTCTCTCTCTCTCTCTCTCTCTCTCTCTCTCTCTCTCTGTGACTATCATAAATAAATTAAAAAAAAAAAAATCCGGGTCTCCAGGATCACGCCCCGGGCCAAGGCAGCTGCCAAACCGCTGATCCACCTGGGTTGCCCTTCTTTTCATTTTTAATAGATAATAAATCAACCTATAATGTAGTTTTGGTAACTTATTTGCAATTTAAAAAATCTCCACAGCACTTTTTTTTTCTTAATATTTTATTTATTTATTCATGAGAGACACAGAGAGGCAGAGGTAGAAACCGGCTCGACACAGGGAGCCTGATGTGGGACTCGGTCCCAGGTCTCCAGGATCATGCCTGGACCAAAGACAGCGCTAAACCACTGAGCCACCTGGGCTGCCCTCCACAGCACTTTTTGGAAGATTCAGGCATTGTAATTTTTGTATTCAAAGCAGCATATATAAGATATGCCTATTTTAACTTAATTTTTCATTCTTGGAAAATTCTGACCCCACATAAACATGGATGAATGATACAGGTGAGCAGGCTAGGAGGTTGTGGGGGCCACTAGGGATTTCTGAGCTGATTTAGGTACAGCTTAGAGAAAGTTCAGTACATGTACACTCTTTTCCTCTTTTTTTTTTTTTTTAAGATTTTATTTAAGAGACAGATAGCAAGAGAGAGCCCAAGTGAGAAGAGGGAGAAGAAGCAGGCCCCCCACAATTCCCAGACTCTGAGATTATGACCTGAGCCATAGGCAGAGGCTTAACCTGGGTGCCACCCAGGCGCCCCCCTTTGTCCCATTTTTAGGTTTAACATGATCCTAGAGCTCTGTGTGAGTTCTGAGAGTTAGCTGCCTCGGCACCTGCTCCACATTTAGAATGCAGATTCTGGACTGGCACGTAGCCACGGAATCACATGGCATGGAGGAGGTACTATTGCTCCTGTTGATGGTGCTGGTGGAGGTGAAGGTGGTGGTGGAGGTTGGTGGGGTTGGTGATGGAGGTAGTAGTGGAGGGGGTGGTCGAGATGGTGGAAGTGGTAGAGAAATGGGTGGGGGTGGAACTGGGGGTGATAGGTGTGATCCTGGGAGTCCTGGGATCAAGCCCTGAGTCTGACTCCCTGCTCAATGGGGAATTTCCTTCTCCCTCTGACTCTGGCCCTACCCCTGCTCATGTTTGCTCACTCTGTTTTTCCCTCAAACAAAATATTTTTGAAAAATAATAATTGAGTCTAAAAAAAAATGCAAGGTTTTATATTAGTACTCTTCTCCCCTCCCCCCATTTTAAAACCTGCTGTTTCCAATGATAGACACATCAAGTTATTTTAGAATTTTTTGGTCATTAAACTTTTCTCTGGCTAAAGAAGCCCCCAGATGACTTGTGATTTTGAAAGACTTCTCTTCCACTCAGGGCATGTTCATTTGTATGACATCATCCCCACCCAGTGATCCCTAGCACTCACACATGTATGTGCACACTCAGATACAAATGAGGCTCTTGTCCCTGCTCTGCTTTGCCGTTTTGTTCATAAGGTTAAGGTTCATCCAGTATGAATGACTTTCTTAATCTTTGAAGATCTTTGTAAATATTTAAGAAATTACGATTTGTAAAATGTATAATAGTCATTTAGAAATCTCTTTATAGGGATCCCTGGGTGGCGCAGCGGTTTGGCGCCTGCCTTTGGCCCAGGGCGCGATCCTGGAGACCCGGGATCGAATCCCACGTCGGGCTCCCGGTGCATGGAGCCTGCTCCTCCCTCTGCCCCTCTCTCTCTCTCTCTCTCTCTCTCTCTCTCTCTCTCTCTGTGACTATCATAAATAAATTAAAAAAAAAAAGTTTAGAAATCTCTTTATAGCTTAACTGTTTGAAACTTGGATGAAATAGTTTAAAAATTATCAAAGAAGCCCTCATTGTCAAAAGTGGAGACAAGTTTGTTACTTCTGTCGGTAAAAATCCCTGTTTTTTAAATATTTTGGCTGCAAAGAAAAACATCTGCATTTCTTCTTGTTCTCTGTCATGTGGCTTGGCTTTGACCTACAAGTGCAGTCCCAGGAAACATTTCTTAGGATGAGTACATTGAATAAAAATAAAAAAAAAATAAAATAAAAAGGATGAGTACATTGAAGATTTTATAATAACAAGTTGTTAGTAATAAAATGTCTATGAGTTACTGATGAATTTAGATTGTTTTGCAAAATATTGAAAATAATATTCCTCTTTATGCCATTTCCTAGATGTAGTGGAACGAAAGGAGAGGGGCAGGCTACTCGCCACCCCAACCGCAGCCGAATTGTCTAAAAACTTGTCTTCACCCAGTTCTTACCCGTCAATTGTGAATCGAGGCAGGGTGGTAGCTAGCCCTAGCACCAGTCCCGATGATAGCATGCCATTCACAGATGAAGGGCTTCCAGAGTTTTTATCAAGAAAGACTTTGGTAGAGTTTCCTCAAAAAGTTCTGCCTCCATTCAGAAAACAGGGTTCGGATTCAAAAGTTCCTCAGGAGAGCAAAGGAAGGACAAATGATTCATCATCATCTTCGTCATCTTCAGCATCTTCGTCCAGCTCCTCCAGTTCAGACTCCTCCTCGGATTCAGAGTCTGACGAGGAGGGTGATGCCTCCAAGGTTGATCCTCAGATGATGAGCAGGAGCAAAGAAGGGCTTCCAACACCACAGGCCCCCCGTTCCCCTGAAAGTAGAGCCTCCAAAATTGCAACAGCAGCAAGAGAGAAGATCCGGTCACAGCAAGTGCAGCCAGATCTCAGCCCTTCAGAGAGGCCCCGTCAGGCAAAGAAGAAAGGGCCCACCGTGAAGCCATCAGAGGACAGAAAAGATGCTAAACCAAAAGCTACAACCCCCAAGTTACAAGCAGATAAAGAGATTGTGAAGCAAAATATAAAGGAAAAACAAATGGAGAAAATACTTAGATCAAGTGAAAAAGATCAAGAAAGCCAAAAGTCACTTGAAGTTAAAAAAACCTTCCCTGACCCCACAAAGTCAGGATTGTCTACACAGCCAGATGTCAGCCCAGCACCTGGGCAATTGACAGAAAGAACCAGAGCGGCAGGACAGCTGCAAGCATCTCCTGATTCCAGAGAAAGACATTTTGAAAAGCAAGTACTGGAAGGTGACGGGGAGGTGGCATTTCCCCTACCCGACAAGGAAAATGCAGGGAAGCAGGTAACGGGAGGAGTCTTGGAGGCCAAAGAGGAGATTTTGGAAGATCAGACGCCACTGCAACATCCAAAGCCAGTTCCTGCCCCTGATGCAGGTGTGTTCAAGCAGAAGACCACAGGTCTGGAGCCTGAGGGGCAGGACGGGATGGCTGAAGACGCGGTGCCAGGCCTGCAAGAGCAGGACAACACACCGGGTATACATTCCCTTGTGCCCTCTTGAGAACCTCCTTTCCTGTGCGGGTGGTGGGTCTCTGGAGGCCCCTGCGGGGTGAAGACGTGCTCCAGTTAGTCAGACCCCGCAGGAGAAGTCTGCCCCCTTCCACGGCCGTAATTGTGATGACACACACCCTAGGCACAGCCCCGGGGCCCTGGATGTTTCCTCTGCACTGGAAGCGTGTGCCCTGGGCACTCCCCACCAGCCCACAACCAGTGCCGTTTCTGCCCTCGGGCAGTTCACATCCTCACCCTTAGCCTCGGAGGCTGTCCACGTGTCCGTTTGGTGAACTTGCAGAGCCTCCTCTTGGCGGAAGGGGTCCTGTGTGACCCCAGAGGCCGTGCTCACCCCCACTGGGAGGGTCTTCTGGGCGGCTACACTGAGCAGTGCTCTTAGATTCCTCGGGTCCAAGGGGACATCCACATGTTAGGAGAGAGACCAGTCAGTAACCCAGGGACAGCCAGGAGCAGCTTCAGTCTTCTTTCCACTGGATGACGTTTCCTTCTCTGGTTTCCCCAAAAAACACAATGGGCGGCTTTGTTTTTCTATACTGAATTTTTATGAAGGGCTCCTTCGCGGTCATAAACATTTAGTGTTTTATTCCTCCTATGCTACCGTCTGGCGGTGCCCTGAAGTTTAGAAAGGGTGTGTGCTGTAGGTGGGCGGTGGCCAGGCAGTAAGGGAGGGCTCTGGGTTCAGAGCCTGGCTCCGCAGAATATCTGTAAAATGCATTACTAACAAACCCAGCCCCTTCCTGTTGGCTCTGTAGTCCTCCTAAAGCCTCCCTTTGCCTGATTTCCACTACGTGCTAATTGTTGTTACTGGTTGTGTTATATGGACAGAATTTGTGTTTTCTTCCTTCCGTTTTCTCCCTCCTTTATTAATATGCAAAGTGCCTGCAGTTTCCAGACTGGTCAAGAACCCAAGAACCGCATTTCCTGAGCCTACTGTTTCACTCATCCTGCCATAAATTGGAGAGGAATACCTAAACCTTTAGGACGACGACAGGGTCCACATTGCAAACCATTTTGAAAACAATTTGCTTCTAATTTTTCACGGATGTGTTCTTTTTCCCACATTCCTTGTGCCTTTCGGAGGCTACAACCACCACCGCCCTGGAGCACAGCCCACGTGTGGGTGTCCCGAAGCAGTCGTCCTCGCTCCTGCCACCTGGCTTCTTGTCCCCTGACGGGATTGATTTTCATATGAGTTTTCTGAACCCACATTTCCCTTCAGTTACCACGCTCCCTGTATCTGCTTTGAAGATGTGCCTACACCATGGGGAGTCTCTGCTCGTTGAGATTGGAAAGGTGTCAGCTCTGAATAAGACATCATTTTTGTTTAATACAACTAAACACATGAAAAACAAAGCTTTGATATGAATTCAAGCAGGGACACTATTTAGGTTATTTTTTGTGCAGCTCAAGTAGGAGTTGAGAGAGCCCCGATGGCAGAAGCCCAGGATCAGTAGGCACTTCACCCCGCCCTCCACCTGCCGCCCCACATGCCGCACCTCCCGTCCCCTTATGCTGCATGTCACATAGCAGGAGAGCGATATTTCTTTTGCTTCAACCACACACTTTTTTTTTTTTTTTACCGCACACTTTTAGTTCTTCGACTACCAAACATTCTTTTTCACTTAAAGAAATAAAATCTAGTTTGTATATTTTAGTCTGAATCTAAAGCATACGAACAACTTTTTCAGAAAAAGTTGAAAATTATACACCTTGTTTCCATTTCCCCTTAAGTTGGTATTAATGTTATTAAAACAGGGTCTAATTTTCTTGTACCCAGAGACTTATTAGAAGGCTCACTTAAGCTTCTGCTTTTGAAAATTGTTTTCTATAAGTGGTTTATTTCTATTATAAGATTTCTAATAGATCAGGTTTTTTTTTTCCTGCATCTTTAAGTGGCCTGAAAGTCCCTCCATAATTGTTATAGGCATTTTCAAAATTTTGCAAAGTACAGGATCTAGAAGTGTATGAAGTAAGGTGTTAAGACATCTCGTAAAAACCATCATGTTGCTCCCACTGTTAAGGCTTTGTGTTTCAGAATCCATTTTCAGCTAATTCCTTTATTTTGCTTCTGAAGATCCTGTTGCTTTCACGGGCTTTTCTTTTCTAATTAGACAGTTTATTATTTCAGGTAGGGTTTGTGTGACAGATGCTAGATGCTCGGGTGTCTGTGAGCTGAGCCCTGCAGAGGCGCTTCCTGTCCCGCGTTCTCACGGCCTTGCTTTTCCCCACAGAGCCTGCTCAAGCCGAGCCGTTCGACAACACCACGTACAGGAACCTCCAGCACCACGACTACACCCCGTACACCTTCTTAGACCTCAACCTGGACCTGTCCAAGTACCGGATGCCTCAGCCCTCTTCGGGTCGGGAGTCGCCTCGCCACTGAGCGCTCCCCTTGAGAGAGTAAACCTATCGGTGTCTGGGCTACAGAAATAAAATCCGCTCCATCCATGAGGCCTGACATGTATAATCAGTGTCCCTTTTACGGGAAATGGTGAATTAGTTTATTTAACATCCATTTAGAAACATCTATGCACAAGGGATTTTTTCTCCCGTGAGCCAGAACCTCAGAAAATTCTAGGCACTTTCCATCACTGTGATCCCACTATGTCGAGTCCCTGGTCAGTTTAATGTTAGTCTCCCTTACCAGCTAAGTGTTAATAAATGTAATGATAACTTCTAATTTGGTAGAACGCATTCTCGATAAAGCGAAAGTAGGAGTTTACTGATTTTAACTATGGTACTGCAAAAGAATTGTAACATTAGGTTCTAGCACTTTGAACAGAATCCTTTTGTTCACTTGAATTCAGGATTAGATGTAAACTCAGGGAAGTTTTCAGCAATGGGATTAGGGAGCCATGGAAGTTTTCTAGGGCCCAGCAGAGCAGCACTGTTTGCAGATGGCCATGGTGGACTCTGCGCTGTTTTAGCTACAGTTTCTGGGTTGGCTGAGTAACCTTCCAACACTCATGATAACGTTACTCACGCATCTGGGGGCATACGTGGTGTGAACAGGCTCAAGTGTGTGTCGGGGGGTGTCTCTGTGCTAGCACCCTGTGGGGACGAAATAACCAATTCCTTGGAGGACGTAACAAGTCGAGGTGACGTTACTCCCCATCGCACAAGTGAAGATGGAAGCTGGGGCCGTTGGTTAGGGTGGCGCCGCTCAGCCTGGCGGGGAAGGCCGCCCACAAATCCGTGTCCTTTTCATGGTTTGCTTTGTTTTCCCACGGCCCCTGTTGATGGGCCAAACGCCTGGGCCTTCTCTCACTTCATTTGGAATCCAGTCCCTGGCCTCAGTATGGTGTATTTGTCATTATGGTTCATGTTTCTGTAATCCTGCGCTGCTTACATTGAGTTAGAGCGCCGAGATTGATCACTACTACTGTGATCATCTGCCTCGGGTTTTATTACCTCCTAGAGGCTTAGCACCTCGGTGAGATTCTCCTTATCACATTTTTTTATTATATAAAAGTCCTAAAACCACATTGCCCAAAAGAAAGGAAATGAGAAATACAACTGTGCCAACCCCGCCGTGACTAACCTGTCCCATGCCTGCCCGGTGCTGGGGCTGCGGATGGACGGTGCCCTTGGCAGTTTTCTATCCTGCTGGGTGTTTCTGTGTAATAGCCAGCTTCATGAACTAACCACTGAGACCCGTGTGGCGTGTGAGGTTCGCAGGGCGGGGTGGCGTAGGGTGGAGTGCAGAGTTGCGGTGGGTTTCCTCGGACTGCTCCTGCCATGGGGTCCTGCAACTCTGGAGCGAACAACAAGTACAAGTATATTTCCATGTGCGTGAAGCTTTTCCTTGGGAACCAGGACTATTAGTTTATCCTCCAGTCTCCAGGAGTTGGCTCCCTCTCCTCTGTCCCCCAGGAAGGCTTGAAAGCGGACACAAGGGGCACCTGGGGGGCTCAGTCAGTTGGCCACCTGCCTTTGACTCAGGTCATGATCTCAGGGTTTTGGGATTGAGCCCCATGTTGGGCTCCCAGCTCAGTGGGGAGTTGGCTTCTCCCTTTCCCCCTGCTGGTGCTCTCTCTGTCCAATAAAATTTAAAAATTAAAAAAAGCCAAAATGAGCGGTGCCAGCCATGGCTGTGCTTGAAAGACCTGCCATGGTGCATCTGCTAGCAGCACAACTGTTGCCCACGGAGCACAGTTTTCAGATGTGTGCTAGTGCCCGTGCTCTCTTAGCAAGCACTGCCAGAAACATTGGTGTGACTATTACTCATGTTGTGTTTTGTATTGTTTCCTTAAGATGGATTTCCAGAAACCAGTCTGATGAATCACATGTGATTCACAGACATTTGTGTTGCTTCCATTTCCACAAGGTTTTTACTTTTTAAAAATTTTTATTTATTTATTTGTTAATATATTTTAGTACCTTTTTTTTTTTTTAAGATTTTATTTTTTTCATGAGAGAGCGAGAGAGAGGCAGAGAGAGAAGCAGGTCCCATGCAGGGAGCCCGACATGGGACTTGATCCGGGAACTCCAGCATCACGCCCTGGTCCAAAGGCAAGCGCTAAACCGCTGAGCCACCCAGGGATCCCCTTTTTTTTATTTTTAAAATATTTTTAAAGATTTTGTTGACAGAGTGAGCAGGGGAGCTGCAGAAGGAGAGAGAATCCTCAAGCAGACTCCTCACTGAGCGCAGAGCCCAACATGGGGCTCAATCTCATGACATTGAGGTCACGACCCAAGCCGAAACCAAGAGTTGGACACTCGACCCACTGAGCCATCCAGGTGTCCCTCCACAAGGTTTTTTGTTGTTGGTTTTTTTTTTTTTTTTCCTCTACGGGGTTTTGAAACCAGTTTAATATGTTTGAGTTAAGTAAGGTAATTATTGTTTCCTTTTGTGTTTTGCCTGTCACCTGATCTCTAGCATCCTTCTAGACATTTGTTCTTTTACACCTGTTACAAATAAACACCCTCAGGCTGGAGGGGATGATACATGAAGCATAAGTCTGTCCCTCGCTTATTGTGAATTCTTGTCCTAATGTTGACTGGCAGCCAGTTCATAACTGAAAACCAGAAGAATGTTGTGTGACTTTTATGATTCTGCTTCCAAGCACGTGCTTTGTGTTTTAAAGGTTGGTGTTGTCCTGCCTGTCTCCACTAGCCTCCGCAAACCAGGGAGGTGCTCCTCGGCTCTGAGGTCGCCACCAGCACCATCTGGCCGTGGCCCCATACCTTGCACATAGGAAGCACCCACATTGGGCTCCCTGGATGGAGCCTGCTTCTCCCTCTGCCTGTGTCTCTGCTTCTCTCTGTGTGTCTCTCATGAATGAATAAATAAAATCTTTAAAAAAAAAAAATTTACTGCACCCTAAGGGATGACAATACAAAACCATTGCTTCCCATAAAGCAGAGCCAGCTGGCTTTCGATGAAGGACCAGATAGGAAATCATTTGGGGGGTTGCCACATGCAGTCACTACTGCAGGGTCTTTTTTTCTTACAACCCTTAAAAAAATGGGAAGCCCATTCTCAGTCTTCGGCCTATCACAATGACAGTTTCCCAGGGGCCGTGGGATTGAAGGGGCTGCTGTAAGCCGCTTAATACAAGGGCCCACTAGACCTTCAGATCACTGGTGCATTTCAGGTACTCAGCACCCATGCTTCTACCGTGTTCTCTCCCGACCACCTTTATTTACCCTCCTCCTGTCTTTATTCTAGAAAGTTTTGGGGGTTTGTTTGTTTTTTAAGATTTTATTTATTCCTGAGAGACACACACACAGAGAGAGAGAGGCAGAGACACAGGCAGAGGGAGAAGCAGGCTCCATGCAGGGAGCCTGATGTGGGACTTGATCCCGGGACTCCAGGGTCATGCCCTGGGCCGAAGGCGGCACTAAACTGCTGAGCCACCGGGGCTGCCCTGTATAAATAAATTCTAATTTTAATGAACATTCATAAACTTAAAAAGTAAATTTTATTGGACATGCATTTCTTAGTGAAATGTACTGGAACTCTTACTACTTTTTAGTTTTTCCAGTTATTTCCTATATCCATGAATGAATATTACCTAAGGCTAGAAGGGGTTCAATTAAAACAGCCAAATAAAGAAAAAGAGCAAGTATAGAGCAATCATGGAGAATGGATGCAGGTTTTATGGGGCCTAAAAATTAGAGAGTTTGCAGACCTCTCTTAAAATAACGCAGAGTTACGAATTCAAAGTCAGGTGTGACAGTGAATATTATGTAGGTTGAGGAAAAGTAGCTTACAAATCTTAAAGAGTGGTAGATGCTATAAACTGCACAAAATCTAGAAAAATAACCTAGTTTAATTAGCCACACAACATACCTCTATGTGTCAGGCAGCTAATAAACATAACTTTGAGAGGCACCTGGGTAACTCAGTCGGTTAAGCGTCCAACTCTTCGTTTCGGCTCAGTTCACGGTCCCAGGGTTGTGATATCGAGCCCCGTGTCCAGTGCAGTGCTGCTGAGTGTGGATCCTGCTTAAGATCCTCTCCCTCCCGGGGCACCTGGGTGGCTCAGCAGTTGAGCGTCTGCCTTCGGCTCATGTCATCATCCTGGGGTCCTGGGATCAAGTCCCATGTGGGGCTCCCCACAGGGAGCCTGCTTCTCCCTCTGTGTCCCTGCCTCTCTCCGTGTCTCTCATAAAAAAATAATCTTAAAAAAAAAAAAAAGTTTCTCTCTCTCCCTCGCCCTCTGCCCCTCCCCAACACATGCAGGCACACACTTGCTCAAAAATAGAAAATAATGTTGCGCTGTATACTTAAAAAGAAAAAAAGATGTATTCATTTGAGAGAGGGAGCGAGCACACGGGATGGGGGGAGAGGCAGAGGGAGGGGGAGAGAGAATCCCAAGCAGGCTCCCCCTATTGAGCCTGGAGGCGGACGCGGGCCTCGAGCTCAGGACCTGAACCGAAATCAAGAGTCAGACACTTAACCGTCGGAGCCCCGGAGCCCCGGGCTGCGTCCTTCTTGATTGCTTCTTCACACGGACGATCGGGCTCTGTTTTGCCAGATGTAAAGATGACGCCATCGCTCCTCCGGCACGGCTGATCGGAATTTGGTTTTGGTAGTTCAGGTTCATAAACGTGACCCCACACAGAAGTCTCGGCTGTGCGTAGTGCTGCTCCGAACGCAGGGGTTCCGGGAAACTATTTCACACCGTCCCCTGAAAAGAGGGAAAGTAAGGGCCGCGTTTAACCGCATCTGCTGTGTCGCGGAGTCCGTCCTCGCCAGGAATTCTGTTCGTACAGATGGGAACTAAGCCCGCTCATAGGAGTTTTCATGATCTAAAAGGATTTTGCACCGAGTAGCTTCTGTTCCATGTGCTTCAGGACCCGCACACTATCCCCCCCTCGCCCCCCGCCCGGCTACTGCCAAGCGTCGCAGGACCCGGCCACATCACGTTTGTGGCCAGGCCGCGCACTCCTGGTCACGTACGTGGTCACGGCCGTGTCCGTGATGGCACGAGCCCGAGCCGCGGATCCCCT